AAGCAAGGCCAAGAAATTGAATTATATGATATTATGGTACAAAGAACTTTCCCACAATATTAGGACAAAAGCAATTTTTTTAAGATTAAGTATATTGTTAAACATAAAACTGTACAATTATTTTCTTTAATAGGTATTTATGTAATACGGATTATGTCAATGAAATTTTATAATCTGTTTATATATATATATATATATATATATATATATATATATATATATATATATATATATATATATATATATATATATTGTTGTACTTTTGAATGTCCATTAGCAATAAAAAATCGATATACAAATTTTATTACTTAAATAAAAATTAAAATTATTGATATTTCATAAAGACACGGGCATATAAATTTTCAAACATCCTGTATAAGACAAAATATGTATTTTAAGTTGTTCGAAGAATTGTTCATTAGGCCTCAGAGACAAGACTTTCAAATATTATCGATAAGAAATTTAAATAACTCGGTTATTGTGGAATGGATTTACCCGTAATAAAAGTGTATATAGAAAGTGTTTAAACAATAGACCGGGATTTGCGGTGGTTTTTCTCCCCGAAAGATTATATCGGTAAAAGTTTATTAACAAAAGACATTGAATTGAGAAACAGGTATCGTTTATAGCTATTAGTAAGAAATATTTGTAAAGCAGATAGATTTAGTTAGAATAATTAAAGAATGTTGTTTTCTGGAATTACCCGAATGACGTTTTATAGAGAGAGTTGGTTGGTAACGATATACGTCACAGAGGTGGATGATTTTTATTGGTCAATTTTTGAATGCAAGGAGGTAGTTTTTTTGGCTATGAGATAGGAGAAAGGAGAGAGTTAGTCAGTTTTCGTCGCCCAAGAAGGAAGGAGATTTGTGTTTGTTTGAAGTCCCGAAGACGTAATTTACCGGGTGTGTTTATTTGCTGTGTAAAAGCTGATCAGTGTAAGGAACGGGGTACAGAGAGATAGAAAAACCAAAGGGTATAAGAATATTAATATCAGACGAAGCCGGAAACATTTGAAGTTATAAACAGGCGCGGAGATTCGCTCAAAAGGAGGCTGCATAGAATTACACGAGTTGTTGGGTTGCAGATACAAGGACAGATAGGAGAAAGGTGTACGTCATCTGGACCACAATAGGAGCAGAAGCAGAGAAAGGTTTTTTTTATGGCGTGGCCATAGAATTACAACGGCAGAGAACGAAAGGTCAGTCAATTTTCATTAGAGCAGGAGTGTGGTTTTCATTTATTAATTAAATAAATTGAATAAATAATAGAGACAGTTAATTTTGCGATCATTTAAAGAAAAAAAATATAAAGAGAGCTTAGTTATAACACATATTAAAAATCAATGTAAAATAACATTTGGGTCCATGATAGAAAACAACTTCTCATATATATTTAAAGTATTATATTGCAAATATTACAGGATTGATTGTTATATAAAATTTCATTAAAATAAAGGACATATTCACATATAGTTCATTTGAAATTCTGTGTATTTTATTCAGGTCATATTACCTATCCCAATTAGGAAGTCAATTGGAAAATATTTTGAATCCACGATCAAAGGTAAATAGTACAAGTTAAATAGCCTGAGATTGTAATTAATTAATGCTGATTTATTGTGATTAATTGGAGATTAGATCATTTAATAAATATAGACAGGATCTCTTCTAAATAAGCAATAGAATACAATTTAAATAGCATAACAATATATATATATATATATATATATATATATATATATATATATATATATATATATATATATATATATGTATATATATTTATTTATTAAGGGATGATAATAAACAATAACATCTTTTTACTTCTCTGTAAGAATATTGTAGAAACAAAAGTTTATATATTTTATAAGAAATAAAATTATGATTTCCGTTTACCTAGTTTCTCTATTCCAATTTATAAATTTGCAAGAAGATAAAAAAAATGTATACAAAAGCTATACTCTTTACCTTACAAACTATATGTATTATTCAGGTAAGAAAGAGGTCAATCATCGCTATGGTGTTGCTATCTTAGTTGCAAAATAGGTCAATTACTCTGTCAAAAGTTTTACTCCTTATTCTGATAGGATCTTATCAATACAACTTTTTATAGAAATATTTTACTATGATTTGGAACAAGTCTTAAAATCAATGAAGAACCGTCACACTACAATAGTAATGGGTGACTTCAATGCCAAAGTTGGCTAGGGAAGAGTGGCCATGAATACGTGTGGGAATATGATCTAGGAACTAGAAATGAACGTGGTAAACGTTTGATACAGGGATACATTGTATACATGGAAATCTACCGGTGATACAACGAATAAAATAATCCGAAATCAAATTGACTTTGTCCTCGTTAGACAAAGATTGCGTAATTTTATACTGTCTGCCAAAATTTACCCTGGAGCAGATATCGGTTCAGATCCTAACCACATAGTAGTCACATTACGAACCAAATTGAAACTGGTTAAAAAACCCACACAAAGTAGAATTGATATTAAGAGATTAAGGGAACCAAAAACAAAAGAACAAACTGCAAAAACTCTTACTGAAAATCTATGTAATGCCCAAGAACTGAATAAAAGTAAAGATACAGCAATAAAAAAAAAAATAAAATATAAAAGTCGATAGCAATTAAAGTAAACTGTATACCCAAGCTTAAACAAGCCATTCAGAGCGGTACTGAGAATAAACATATTCCACTATGCACCAATAATTTAACCATATAAATTACCATCAATTTTTGTACTCATTGCGTCTAGTAGGGACGATAAATATACGAAGAAGGTTGCGTTCCGATTTAATTTGAGTCTCTTACCACTCCCTGACACGTGTTTCTGGTCTACCCGTCATCAGAAGGAGTTTGTAAGAAGACTCAAACCAAATCAAAACGCACCGATTACTCTGGCAATTACATGAAAATAACTACCAGAGTATGCAACTAGAGACCTCTAGTGAGGAAAGATGAAGATACGTCGATAGCAATTAAAGTAAACTGTATACCCAAGCTTAAACAAGCCATTCAGAGCGGTACTGAGAATAAACATATTCCACTAGGCACCAATAATTTAACCATATAAATTACCATCAATTTTTGTACTCATTGCGTCTAGTAGGGACGATAAATATACGAAGAAGGTTGCGTTCCGATTTAATTTGAGTCTCTTACCACTCCCTGACACGTGTTTCTGGGTCTACCCGTCATCAGAAGGAGTTTGTAAGAAGACTTAGAAATTTTATTAAATTAAAATATAGACAGTAGATACATTAGAATCATATGTATCCTCTATTGGAACCGAACAGCAAAAGTGAAAGTTGAAAATGAACTAACCGAGGATATCCAGATTCGCCGTGGGGTCCGCCAAGAGTGTATTTTATCACCCTTGTTATTCAATTTATACAGTAAAGCCATCTCAGAATTAGCGCTTGCCGAGATCAGTGAGGGCCTTATAATAAACGGTGAGCCACTTAATAACATAAGATATGCTGACGACACCGTCCTTTTGGCACGAACACTAGAAGAACTGCAACACCTTGCTAAACAAATAAATATATATTGCAACGATTATGGACTAAAAATAAATTTGTAGAAAACCAAGTTCATGGTATTTACAAAAGCACAAAACATCAAAGTTAAGCTAGTACTAGATAATTCAGAAATTGAACAAATATCTTTGCACAAATACCTTGGAGCATGGACCATAGAAGATACTGATCAGACAAAAGAAATAAGATGCCGCATTGAAATTGCATGGTCAACTTTTAATAGAATGAGAAAACTTTTTTGTAATCGCGATATCATTATACCGGTGCGAATAAGAATGCTTCGATGTTATATTTTTCTACCCTTTTGTATGGGGTTAAAGCTTGGACACTTAAAAAATCCAACATTAAAAACCTAGAATCATTCAAAATGTGGTGTTACCGAGGTGTTTTGAAAATATCATGGATGGATCGCAAAACAAATGAACAAGTTCTCGAACAATTAGGAAAACAATGCGAAGTTTTAAATTCCATAAAAATCAGAAAATTGGAATACTTGGGGCACATCATGAGAGGTGAAAAATACGAACTACTAAGGAATATCAACTATTCAGGCGCGTAACCAATAAAATTATAATTGCCAGAATGATTTCCAATCTCCGATAGGCGTGGAACATGAAGAAGAAGATATATATATATATATATATATATATATATTTATATATATATATCTATTTATATATATATATATTAATATATGTATGTATATATATATATATATATATATATATATATATATATATATATATATATATAATTACAATTACAATAATAAATTAATTAACGAGATAGCTAGGTCGAACAAAATCTAAGCAGTAATAACTATTTAAATAACACGAATACTATAAATCTGAAAGACTTCTAACAAACGTCATTTTAAAGTAAAAAGGATAGACATTTCTTTTGTGTAAAGCAATGTCTATATTCCCATGGACAACAGTAATGGGATCAAAAAGAAAAATCGCGTTTTTAGTGTTTTTTGTTTTGTTTTTTGAATAAATTTTTGTAAAAAATAAAATAATTTTTGTACGAAATACGAAAAGTGTATATAATTCACCCAAATCCACCGTAGTACATAAGGACTAATTCACCCCTTTCTTAAAAACGCACCCCTTTAAATGATAGCACTCCGCGGTTTTTTATATTGGGAGGTCTATGGACCATATCCAAAAATAAAATCTGTTTAACATTGTAGTTCATTTCTAAAGTACCTTATCAATAGCCTAAAATATATAAAACAGGAACTAGAATTAATGTTGCAAGATAGAATAAAAATTACAAGTTTAAAAAAATACCCGCAGAGTAAAATATACCATCCTAATTACTTTAGATACTAAGTATTATTTTTCCTTTACAAAATTATACAAATAAAAAACACTACTCTTTAATTTTTTTAAGCTATTTAAACACAAAAAATCTAAAGGCAAATAAAAATGTTACATTCTAACTCACCTTGATATAATCCTGTTTCATTTGATCTCCAGCGATTAAATCCACTTCAATTAAATCTAGATCTATATTTGCAATTTTTGCACACAATAACACAGCCCTTGCGGGCGGACTAAGATTCATTTTGTATAATTTTGGAGTCATGTTTTGATGTTGACGATACGTTATTCAACGGAGAAATGCTGGTAGATATCAAGGATGATATTTATCTAAATACATTATCGCTAATGAAGGTCAGATATTTCTAATTAATCGTTTCTTAAACATTGACACCTCGTGCAGATGTAAATTATGAATTTACTGAATATAAGTATTAAAATGTATTCATTTTCATCTATTTAATAGTTTGAGACTTTGACAATAAATCTTTTTAGTTGTTATTTATTAGTATACAAGTTTTTAAAACCGGTATTTACATAACACCAGTGTAGTGTGTTATATTTATTTAGATATTACAAAATAAATTAAAATATCTACGGAATGCGACTAGATCTGCATCTATTTATAGATCAGATTAGACTTTAAGAAAAATATTTACAGGGAGTTAAAAAGGACCGGGAATAAAAAGAGAAATAGCTAAAGCAGTTAGAATTTACACCTATATCAGATTGTGCTATTGAAAATTAATTTAAGTCCCTCTAATATAAACTGAAGAAGAAATAGAAAATTTCTATCAGACTCTAGAAGACTCTCTAATACTGACCAAAAAACATGATCTTACTATTATTATGGACGATTCTAATGCCAAAATAGGACAAGGTACAGTCGAGAATCTCGTGGGATCATATGGTCTTGGCATAAGAAACGAAAGAGGAGAAAGACTAAGCCAATTCTCCTAAGACACGGATGGTTGTAACGAATATACTTTTTAAATTAGATCCAAGAAGACTATATACATGGAAAGCACCCGGTGATACCCGAGGGAAAATCATAAGAAAGCAAATTGATTTTATCAAAATACACAAAAGGTTTAGAAATTCTATCAACTAAACCAAAATATATCCAGGAGCACATGTCATCTCAGATCATAGTCTATTGGTTGCAAATATCAACATATGACTTAAAATAATTCATAAGAAAATGATATATATATATATATATATATATATATATATATATATATATATATATATATATATATATATGAGAAATAAAAGACAAAGTTGATAGGCTACTTTATCTATTTTGAAGACGTTTCGCTTTCGAGTTCGATGTTAATTGTTACCTTAAAAAGACATGTAGCAGTCAAAGTTATTAACAATAATGTGAATGAGACTAAAGTAAATGGACATAATACGCTGATCTTGTATAAACAATCAACTAACTAACAACATATATGAACTTATAAAAATTAGCACAGCAAATGACCATGTGGTCTAAAGTAAATTAAATGTTATTTAATGTTAATTAGTGAGCAAGAACTAAGAAAATCATAGACAACTTCCAACTATTTTATGATTATTAAGCTTTGATTTTAACTTCAGGTAGCATTATAAGTGATATTAATAAAAATTATAAAAGTAGTGTAAATGAAGTTACCGATCAAAGCCCTACAGTTGTCGCCGGAAAAATGGCGTTAGATGAACCGGAACGAACTAAACCGCGAAAAGACAGCCAACCTTGAGGTCAAAATACTTTTGACAGATCAGCAAGGTGGAGGTACCAACCCAAATAATTCGGCGGTCAATTTAAAAGTTTAAATGAGTTTGGATGACTACCCGGTTGCAAAAGACAAACCAGTGAAAGAAATTGGTATTGTAATAGCAACTCCTCTCATTAATCAGCCCAAGAGTTAGTCCCCATCAGTTAGCTGGTGCAGCCTTATTCTCCCATTGTTCTCTCCACCGTTCAGTTACATTAAAGTTTTGATTTACTAGCCTTTTTGCTGTTTTTAGAGGCGGGTGTCTTGAACGGAGCCTATTTATGTCTCTGGCGGAAGTTCCGACATGGGAGCGGAGCTCAGGATCAGTATTAATTTTTGTAAATTCCCTGACAAGGGCATGTTCCCGGCAGATGGGTGGTGGAGCTATATGACTCAAAGCTGGTAACCAGCCAGTGGGCGTGGCCTTGATTATGCCCGATATAGTTCGCATGGCTTGGTTGAGTTGGACATCAACACGGTGAGTATGTGGACTGTTTATCCATACTGGTGCACAGTATTCCGCTACGGGGTATATCAGTACTAATGCTGGCGATCTAAGTGTGGGTGCTGAGGAGCCCCATGTAGTGCCGCAGAGATTTTGCAGGATGTTGTTACGAGTTCGGAGTTTTGCAGCAGTTTTAGTAAGATGCTCTTTAAAGTTTAGCGTTCTGTCAAGTGTAACACCTAAGTATTTTGGGTGTTTATTATAGTTAAGGAATCTATCGTCAAATTGGATTTGAGGTTGATAGTTGTCCATCTTGTACAAATGGAAGCAGGACACTTCTGTCTTAGTTGGATTGGGTTGCAATCTCCATTTGCGGAAATAATTCCCTAGGGCATTTAGATTGTTTGTTAGAATGCGTTCAGTGACCTCGAATTCTTTATAACTTGCGGCAAGCGTCCAGTCGTCTGCGTATCCAAACTTTTTTGATGTGGTTTCTGGCATGTCTGCTATGTAAGGGCTGAAAAGCATGGGAGCTAGGACGGATCCTTGTGGAAGTACATTATGCAGTTTTCCTTGGGTACTAGTCTTGTATCCCAATATAAAAAGTTGCATAGGACTACACTAAAGGAGATAAAAGGAGCAAAATAAGCATGGCTGACGGAGAAATGTATGGAAGTTGAAACATCATCATCATTAGCCATTTTGCGTCCACTGCTGAACATAGGCCTCCCGTAAATAATTCCATTGCATCCGATCTTGAGCAACTTGAATCCAGTTAGACTGGATGCGCTTTAAATCGTCCGACCACCTTGTTGGAGGACGTCCTCGACTACGATAAGCATCGTGTCTAGGCCTGCACTCTAAAATTTTTTTTGTCCATCTTCCATCTCTGACCCTAGCAACATGTCCTGCCCAGTTCCATTTCGGGGTTGTAATTCTTTCAACTGCGTCCGTCACACCAGTTTTTCTCCTTACTATCTGTAAGGAGATAAGGAGATTTCTTATGACTATAAACTCTGTCCCTGAGTGATACGCCCAACATTGACCTCTCCATCGCTCTCTGTACCACTTGTATCTTATTAATTACTTTTCTGGTAAGTGTCAATGTTTCTGCTCCATATGTCAGAACTGGAAGTACACACTGGTCAAAAACTTTTCTCTTCAAGCACATGGGAATAGCTGATTTAAAGACTTCCCTCAGTTTTCCGTAAGCTGCCCATGCCAGTCCTATTCTCCTTTTTAACTCTGTTGTTTGATTGTCTCTTCCCAATTTAATCTCGTGGCCCAGATACTTATGGGAATACACTTGTTCAATTTGCGTGCCATTAGTGGAAATCTTTTTTGCCAGTACCAGGTTGGTCATGTATTGTGTTTTGGAAAAATTAATTTTAAGGCCAACTCGTGCACAAGAGCTCTGAAGGTCTTGAAGAAGTTGGCATGCATGATCTACCTGATCTGCAATAAGGACTATGTCGTCTGCAAACCTCAAGTTGTTCAAAAGTTGAAACACTACAACGCAAACATCGCGATTTTCATATGCACAAAAAATCAAAGAGTTACAGAATACCAGAAAACAACACAATACAGGCATAATTGTAGACATTGAATACCAAATTTTGACTACCATTGAAGATAAATTACGAAAATGGAAAGAAAATATGCAAAAATTATTCGAAGATGCAGCACGAAGTCCTACTGAAATAAACAATCCCTACGACGTAATAATAACAAACAAAGAAGTAACTATGACCATTAAGCAGATTAAAGATGGGAAATCACTAGGACCTGACGAGGTGCATGGTGAAATTTTAAAGCTATTAGAGGCACACCAAATCATAGTTCCTAGGAAAGTTATTAAACAACATCTACGAGACTGGTTACTTACCAAAAGACTGGCTACTATCAATATTTATTCCACTTACTAAAAAAGCAAACGCTACAATATGTGAAGAACATAGATTAATTAGTTTGATTAGCCATATACTTTAAGTACTCCTTACTATCATTTACTCGCGCATATACACCAAATTAGAAGAACACCTGAGTGAAGTTCAATTTGGATTTAGAGCTGGACTTGGAAGGAGGGAAGCACTTTTTAGTTTGCAAGTTCTAATACACAGAGCCAGGGATGTCAACTGTGATTTGTATGCATGTTTCATTGATTTCGAGAAGGCATTTGATAAAGTTCCACATGGGAAACTAATCTATATTCTAAAAACATCATGACTCGATAATAAGGATATAAAACTGTACTCAAACTTATATCTCCAACAAAAAGCAACAGTACGATTAGAAAATAAACTGTCTGAGATCTTTACAGTAAAAAAATGAGTTAGACAGGGTTGCATATTGTCACCGGCATTATTTAACATATACTCTAAAAACCTCTTTAGAGAGGCCTCCGACGAATCAGAAGATGAGATTGTATGGGATCAGTAAATGGCAAACTTATTAACAACATTAGGTCTGCAGACGATACATTATTGCTGGCAGATAGTGTGCACATGCTCCAAAGGATGATGGCTAACGTTGTAGAAGCATGTAACAAATACGGCCTAAAACTAAATTGCAAGAAGACAAAAATAATGATCATTAGTAGGAACACTATAAACGCCTAAATTCCAATTAACGATGCACCGTTAGAAAGAGTGAAAAAAATATGCTATTTAGGCTGAAATATTAAGGATACGTGGAATCATAGCTACAAAATAAAAACTCGTATTGAAAAACCTAGAAGCCCTTTCAACAGCCTTAGGAAGATTCTCTGCTACTTATCTTTAACTATCAATATACGCTTAAGAATTCTTAGATCTTACGTCTTTAGTGTCCTCCTCTATGGAATAGACAGATGGAACCTTACAGAAGATGCCATAAAACGATTGGAGGCATTTGAAATGTAGTGCTACCGACGTATGTTGAGGTTTTTAAATATACACCACACAAGTAATATAACTATTCTCCAGAGGATAAGCAAAGACAAAGAAATTATTAACACCATAAAATACAGAAAATTGGCTTACTTCGGCCACATCATGCATAATGATAAATACCGCCTTCCACAGTTAATTCTACAAGGCAAGATTGAGGGTAAGGGAGGTCC